ATGACATTGTAAATCATCCATGTCCTATATAGATTACACACTTGTCTGTAATCTAAGCTTCTGCTTTGAGTCTGATCTATATTTCCTGAACGAGTCCACAGAATGATTATCTGGAGTACATGACAAACAAAACTTTTGTTGTTTTATAACCATTATATGAATAATGGTGACTGCTGACCGACAAATTTTTCTGTTCTATTGAATTTCCAAGGGCATACAGTTTGTTGAAGAACAGGTTTAATGTTGTTTATAAACCTCTGACAATAAACTGTTACTTAGACAGTATTAATTCCCTAGTTTTTTCCTGTTTCAGCTTCTACAAACTAGGACCTGGCAGTTAACAACTTAAATACTTGATGCCTTCACTGTCAAGTTGTTCTGTCCCAAGGGTTGCATTTGAGCTGAGTGCTTTCAACCTGGTTCCACATTTTTCCTGTCCAACTCGAACAACACCTGGTTCTTGAAGTAGCTGCAACCTCAACGGATTATATTCTTCACATGCTGCATCAGAAATTTCCTGCATCAAGGCTTTGCTCAGTTCATTTACTGCAATTCCCTTTATTCATTTTTACACTTGAAACCTGCTTCACACCAGCATTGTCATGTATTAAAACTGTAGTTTCTGGAAATTCTATATAATTTGCAGCCCCCTCTGTCTCAGGATTAACAAACGTAATCAAAAGGAAAATGGGCTGAAGATTGTCAGCAGCAGCAACAGGTTGGATTTTATATAGGGCTCATTGCAAATCTGGGCTCCAGTTTTTAGTTGTGGGCTTGAATGTTGCCAGGCTAGCTCATCTCTCAAATGGTGGAATTGAGCAAATGCATCAACCTTAACAATATATTATTAGTAAATAATTTCATGTAAAACATGGGATCAAATGCATGAAACAAGAACTAACCAGCATCAACCTCGACCTTTGATAAATAAAAAGAAAAATTATATGTTGGTTGTGTATGAATTGATCAACTAGGTAGACAAAACTTTCCAAATCTAGTTGCTCTTCCAATTGATTTAACCCAAAAAGTTGTCTCCTTATAATATTGTTTAGGGCCGTTGACACAACACCAAACTTCACGTTACAAACATTAAAAAATGCAATATAATTAATTCATCATCATGTATGCTATTGCGGCTCACATGTTATCTTAAATTTTTTTCATTTTTTTTTAAATTTTGGTAGCAATAATCACAGACATGCTGGAAATCCTCTTATTTATTTATTTTTACTTGAAAAATCCAATATTAATTTTCTTATATAAACTCTTACTTCAAAGGAATTTAAAACCAGCATGCATGTGGCCACTAAACCAGCAATTTTTCTTAATTTTGGCACTAAATATTTGTTTATAAGAAAAAACCATGAACCCATGTTGGCACCTTGCAACTGTACATGTTGCCTAAAAGATTGTCTCAAATCTCTTCACATGATCCCATAAAAAGTTTAATAATTAAATAAATAATTAAGAAAACCTAAACCCTGAGTGTGTAACAGGGCAATTAATTTAATTACATGCTTAATCTTTTGCAAGACTTATTGTTATGGTAACTCAAATATCAAGATATGCAGATTTGATTACATGCTTGTTTTGTATATATCCAATTTGGGGTCTGTTGGGTAATAGAGAATCTAGAGTTTATTTGTAATGCACAAGCCCTTTCCTTCTAGACATTGATTAGTGGATCAATCCATAGATCAACCAGAAGAAATTACATTGATTATTGGCTAATTAATCTTGTTTATTGATTATTTTAGGCTTAATTTTCTCTATTGGAAAGAATCCTATGCTGCAAAGATGAAGGAATAAAGGGTCGGTTCATCAATTCAAATAAACCCTAGTTGTTTCTTTCTTTCCAAGTGTTACACATTTTGTTGGCTAAGTGATCAAAAATTATTTGTTTTAGTTTTACCATACTATCAATATGATTCATAGATCATGTGCATCTCTATTCGGTTTTAAATCATAAAAATAAAATCAAAATCACAAAATAAAAGTAATGATTACAACGTAAAATTGGATCTTATCTATAAATATAAAAGCGATCGTATTTTGTATATAGACATAATAATACATCTAAATTAACAAAATTTTATTTAAATGAATCTTTTCCATAACATTAAGCTTCATTTAATTAGATGGCACTTGAGACATGAATTGAACTATGATGATTAAACAAGAATGCCTACCACATAGGTTAGCTACCACACTATGAAAATTGGGTGCCTAACACATGTACAAGAGTATGGATGAACATCATTACTTTGGATCAAACTTGCAAAAAGAACTGATACAATTGATGACAGTTACTTTTTATCCGGCGTCGAAAAGAAGAAATGGACCAGAAATTGAAAGATATGTTTTGAGGAAGTGCAAAATGAGTAGAAGAAGGGGGAGGAGGAGGAG